GCAGCACTTCAGATTTCTAAGTATCTACTCTAAAGTTCAAATCCCTCACATTCATCTTATTTAACAGCATTTTTTAAAAAATCTGCCAAACCATGAAAGAGGATTTTTAAAAAATTATATACTCCTCTTTGGTTCAATGTGAAGGCTCTGATGCTGCTATTCATTATGCCAAATCAAACTAGTATCCAAAAATCATAGAATCTTAGAGTTGTACAGCACTGAAACAGAACCTTTGGGTGAACTCATCCATGCCAACTAGATACCCTAAATTAATCCAGTCCCATTTGCCAGCATTTGGCTATATCCCTCTAAACCCTTCCTATTCATATATCCATCCAGTTGCCTTTTAAACATTGTAATTGTCCCAGCCTCCTCCACTTCCTCTGGCAGCTCATTCCATACACGCACCACCCTCTGCATGAAAAAGCTGCCCCTCAGGTCCCTTTTACATCTTTCCCCTCTCACCTTAAACCTATGCCCTCTAGTTTTGGACTCGCCTGCCTGGGGAAATAGTCCTTGGCTATTCATATTATCCATGTTCCTCATGATTTTATAAACCTCTTTAAGGTCACCCCTCAACCTCTGACACTGCAGGGAAAAATGTCCCAACCTATTCGTCCTCTCCCTATAGCTCAAACCCTCCAACCCTGGCAACATCCTTGTAAATCTTTCCTGAACCATTTCAAGTTTCACAACATCTTTCCTATTTCAGGGAGGCCAGAAACGAATGCAGTATTCCAAAAATGGCCTAACCAATGTCCTGTACAGCCTCAACATGACATCCCAACTCCTTTACTCAATGCAATGACCAATGTCAGCAAGTGTACCAAAGCGAAATCTAGAAAAGTAATGTCATTACAGGATAAATACTTTAAATTGAGATCAGATTTGTTGACATTTGCCAAGAGTTAGACCTTGTGCTATCAAAATGAACAAATTTAGATTTTTAAGGACAGTCTGTGACTCAAAAAAAAAGGGCAGGAAACATTTTTGGACTGTTGTCCTTTAAATATTACAATTAATGCATAAAAATGTTATATACTATAATGCATTTTGGAACTGTTTCTTGCTCAGGTTCATGATGTAGGATATGTACTTGAAAGGCATGAAATTTTAAACAACTATGAAGAGTGACATTTTGATCTTTTCATAAAGAATGAAATAAAATAATGCTGCCTATCTCAGTGAAATCAAAAATTTTCAGCACTATTCTTAAAATGTAATTTTCACAAATGTTGGAAAACACCATTAGTTAAACCATATTAAGCAGACTTGCAATGTGAAATGTGCAGGGCAAATTGATTTTTTTGTTTTACCTTATGGAGGTGCATTAGCTCCATAGAATTCAATTTCAGACCCTATTACATTGGCATTTCAGAGCTTTTATTGATTGTAATAGACAAAAATTTAAATTTAGTGTGGGCTCTCTTATTTTTAACCTAGATGTTAGTAAATATCAAACCAGAAGAGTATGCATTTTCAAATTAATTTATTTTTAGCCTTTATTAAGCTTTGCTTAAATGGTTACCAGTTTAAAAAGCTGTACTTTGAACTCTAAAGCAACCAAAAAGGCAGAAAAATTAGACCACATATGTCATGGCATCATAATGACAGCTAATCTTATTCGCTGAAAAGCTTACTTCAGCTTGTTTAAGGAAGATTCCTTACCGTGAATGATGGGTTGCTGGCAACCACGGAGTAGCCATTGACTATAGGTATTGTTTTTAAAAATTGAATTAATACCAAAGAAAGATCATGAATTGATTTTAATTTACTTTCTTTCATTAGATTAAAACAATTAACTGTCCCCACTGGTCAGATATTTGATGGAAGGGCTTCCGATACCAACGTGTGGAATCATTGAAATAAAGCTATCTAATCTAATCAAATCAATCACAAAGGAAATAAACCATATTTACAATCTGCCAAACATTCAGCCACTTGTGAACCCAGTATTTTTGGACGTTCAATGTTCATACTGTACTAAAGACATAAAGAGACATTTGTGGAGAGAATGAGTAATATTATACAGTATTACAAGACACCAACACACACAGCACAACATCATGAGGGTGCACTACGATTTTAAACATTGGGAATACCACAGAAATGCCAGCAGAACTAGTTTCCAAGTTTAGGTCAATGCTTCAATAGCAGACAAAACCCTTCACATTTTAAGTTACCATTGCAAGTGTAAGGTCATTGGCACCTGAGAAAGTTTTGCACACAGCATTGGCTAATTCTTGTTTTTTTTGTTTGTAGGTTGCTGCCAGCCAGTAACAGCAAATTTAAAGCCAACAGAAAATACTGAGTATCTTGACTTATTGGACTTAACTGCTTCACAAGTTCAACAGCATTTTTACTTGCTTCAATGTGGATCAGATTTTCTCTCTTGGCTAGAATAAATTGCGACAAGGAGCTTTAAAGCATCATAGACTTTTTTTTTAAAAAAAGGGAAGCACAAGCAGCTGTCACAAAATTCAGTTTCCTCCTAGTTTGCTTCCCGATACACCTTCCTGGCACATTGTCCTCATCATTTAGTGCCTCTGATGATTGCAAACGCCTGAGAAAGGAGAACTTCAAAGCAATTCCTCAATGTCTGTATTATGTCTCCTAGCAGAACTGCTGACCATATTTTTATAATGCGCCACATTCAAGAATCGTACTAGCTGAAAGCCAACAAACAAGATTATCAGCAAGTTAGTAAATTCACGCTGAGAAGAATAATGCAGCCCACAAATTGCACCTTTTGTCCATAACTTGCTTCCTCGTGGCTCCGGACATCTTGAAGGAAATAACATAACTATTGAAAACCACAAATCTCTGGCAAAGTTTTCTACTTGATATTGCAAGGGAATTGTCAAGTTGCTTTTATTTGGTATGTTAGTTGATAAAATGTTGGAATAAACGTTTTCGGATAAGGAAATATGTCTAAGTAAATCGGGATTGGTTATTTTCAAGCTGGTCCAACAGTTCTGTTTTTGTTCCATATAAGCCAGAATGTGGACCAAATACGTAGTTATTGACAAAATCAGACACAAGTTTTAGAACAAAATCAAAATACCGCGGATACCTGAGATCGGAAATGTTTTAAAAAGGAAAACGCTGGAAACAATCAGGTCGGGCTGCACCAATCCTCAGTTTGGGGTCTCCTTAGTTACATGATGTGGGATCTGTACATCCCAGAGAATGCTGATCGCTGCAAGGGAGATGAGGGCATTAACAAACGAAACCAAGAAATCACGATAAAAATGTAAGTATGTTTCTGATGTCGGTAGCTATTGAAGCTAATAAAATGGATAAAGGGAACGGGGAAGCAGAACTTAATAACGGTTTCAGTCATTGCAAAACGTCGTTAGGGAAAATATGAACGCGGATTTCACCGCTCACTGTACTATCCTACAAAGCTGTTTGACGTGGGAGCTATTCTTTCTTCGGCACATCAATCTTTCATTAAGGATGGAGACGATTCTCCATTGCCTCTTACGTCTTCTTCAACATCTTTAGTGCTCACACAATTACTCCTGACAAATCCAAGTAAATGCCTAGGACCGGCAATTTAACATAGCACATACCCTGTGCCTGGACTCAACCAAAGCCAAGCACCTCTACCGTTCTATCCTGTCTGACTTATAAACTTTATTTTGAAAATGTTGTTGTCTGCGACACCAAAATCGCAGCTAAATCCACTTCATTACCTACTATTTCTACCCTTTTTGATCTAGAAAAAAAAATCGGTGCCGCCAACTGCATATCGGATTTGCACATCGTGCTTAAAACAGAAGTGGAAATCGAAGGAGATGTCTCTATACAGAAAGACGGTCTCAAATATTATTAATTGCTCATTTGACGGAAGCGTACTGCAGAACATTCAGCAGAAAATGTTCAAGAATTTCCTAGAATAAAGAAATCTCTTAGGTCTACTCGAAGCAATGTCGTCCCTCTTTATTGTGCAAGGATATTCCTATGCATTTACCAAATGTTCTCTTTTGAATGTAACTGCCAATACAATAAAGTCCTAAGTCAACAAACACAATGCACTGCCAAACAATCAACCCCATCGTACTTCAAACACGCGGCTCAAGTTAAGCCAATGTTCGTCGGTATCAATCAATCACTACTCACAATACTGTCAAATCAAGCAGACAAGAGATCTTGTTCTCTTAATGCGCCTGGTTGCCGGCCTCCTTAATGTAATTACAGTACAATACAGCACGTCGGCCCAAGGGTTCAGCCAGTTTCCCCAGGCTCCCCAAATAAAACTCAATCATTACACAAGCGAAAGCTACAACATATTTTCCTTTCTGTTGTTTTTAAAAGGCATTCGAAGATCAGATAATAAGAAATATTAAAATTGCGGAAAATTTAATGAAATAATTGCACACGGAAATTCCAAATCCAAGTTCGCTTTTGTTTCAATGTCTGGGCTGACCATATATAACCATTAGACTCCTCAGAAATTTTAGGATTGTGGGAATCTGACCGTACAGTCAAGGTCAGCCAAGAGTGAAGGAGCAATGAAAAGACTTATTTTGTACCAAATTCGACTTGGATAGCGAATGTCTTCACCGCCAGGTGTTAATCCCTCAGTTTTTTTTAAAGCGCAAGATAATAAATGGAAAAGAAAATTACACCGTTATGAAGAAGGCGCTTAAGTATTTCCACTTCACCCTTGTTCCGAATTCCGTTTTTACGCTGGCTCTGCACCAGAAGGAAGGAAGGCTATAGCTTTAAGAAAAAAACCTGCATCGACTTGGATTGAAACAAAATGTAAAATAAATCTCAGCATCTGAATTTATCGTCCGCAACATCTTTGGCTCAGGGTGCAGTTAGAACTAGACTGAACCAGCGATCCCGCCGTTTGCCAAATCAGCACCCTTCCGCTCCCGGTACAGAGGGCTCTCTTCAACATTTTGTTCACAAGAAACATTTTTTTTTATTTACAAACATGTCAACTGAAACAGACACAAAGGTATTGTTTCATTAGTTTGGAAACTTACTGGGCAGAGAAGCGGCGAAGAAAACCCTGAAGACTGTGTAGCAGAAGAAAAGCACAAAACCCCGTTCCAGTAGCCTCTGCATGACAAATGCACATCCAAACACAACTTGTTGAATAGTTTTACTGTCAGAGGGCGGGTGGAGGGGGGCGAGGGGGAGGGGGAGGGGTGGTAGGGGGGTAGTCCACGATCTCACTCAGAGGGCCCGAACAAGAAAGGGGCTGCGCTTGGCTTCCCAAGAGACTGTTCTTCTCCGAAAAGTGAAACTGCGGTACAAGCCGAGTAGCGCCGACGACGTGAAGGAACCATTTAATCCCGAAGCATATTAGCAGCGTCTGCCCGGCGAGAGCGCGATCAGTCCATCATTAGCGGAGCAGCGAGTAAAAGGCGGCACGCAGGGAATCGCATAGGCTCCGGCTCGAGCTGGAAGCTTTCCATTCTTCCCAACAGGAAGTACCATGTGCGCCTCGGGGCACTTTAAAGCCAACGAATCTGGCTCGCGTGTATGCGCGCACCCGCCTGCAGTCGCGCGTGCCCTAGGCACTCGCTCTTCGGGGCGCGCGCGCCTCCCCCAGCTAACGGTTGATGGACCCCGGACGCCAGCCTGTCACAGGTTGACTCTCTGCCCGTTGCCCTTGGTTTCCAGGTTATCACCAATCAGCGTGCTGGTATGGGGTTTACGGGGCGGGGCGGTCTGCGCCTGCCTGTTTGACTGCCAAATGGCGCTCAGCCTGCTGGGTGTTGTAGTTCGCATCCCGCGGAGCGTTTCCTGAAGGCCAACGGAAGTGGATCCGCTTGGGAAACTACGAGTTCCACGCAGCAGTGCGGGTCCATTTCCCCCTCCCCCTGGGATCCGCAGTTAGTGGTTCTGACGGCGGCGGTAAGTGTACCATTTCGATATGGCTGCTTCTCCAGGTGAAAGGTTTCATTGCAGAGATAATAAATAAACCCTTTAAAACTGTAGCGATGTTGTCATGATGAGGGACTGTTGAGGTGATTTATCTGACTGAGATGGAAACGAGTGCCTGGCGGGCTCTACCTGCTTTCATGATAACCCGGCATTTCTTGGCACATGTTATAAGACGCTGAATAAATGCAAATTATGTGACTTCTCACAATGTTTAGTAAGTTTTGAACTTGTATGTGCTCTAGGCCTGTTGACGTAAGTTAAAGAAGCATGCTACCCTCACTCTGGAAGCCCTTTTTTTAGTTTCGTTTTAAATCCAAGGATCCGGAACAGATGAATTTGCACTTGTTTTGAGTGGAGCTGTTTCATATCTCTTGGATTTCAGCTTCTTTAACAAATCAATTCGGCCATTTCACGCTATTGATTTTTCTTGAAACTTCTAACAAGAATCAACTGTGTCACTACTTGGAATAATGAAGCACATATCACAAACTACCACATTCTCCGTCAGTTTATGTTCTTTCGCCACCGAAGCATTTCAAGTGTGTTTGCAGTGTCTAGAGACATGCACAGGCTCCAGTTTAAACTGACATGCGAAGCATAAGAGCTTTAGTAAATCTAGAACTAAATGTAATTTGCATTTATATTGCCAACAGTACTAAAGGCAGTATGCTAAACCTGTATCACAAGACTTGAAACTATGTTGATCTAATATAAGTAATCGAAACTAATACATGCAAAACGGATTTCGAAGCACGCAGTCGTGGAGATTACAGTATCACACAAATTCCAGTTACAGGGAATGATTCTTCCTTGAAATGTTTCAGTTTCAATTAAAAAATTCATGATCTAAATTCTAATAGTTTTTTTTAATTCACATTTTTAATATAAGGCAGTTAACTTGATGATTTAAAGAGAAACATTTCAATGAAGACGAGAGCATGTTCTCAATTCACCCAAAGAAAAAGATGAATTTTGCCTTGTCTAACCCTCGAGTTAGTCATAGATTTCCCTTGCATTGGGCTGCACTTATGGGCAAAGTACTGCAATGGTTTATCATTGCCTTCTGCAGGATGGCTGATCCGGAAACTCCCACTCTTGTTATCTACAGTCAGACAAATTAGAAGGGTTTAAGGCTGATAGTCAACCTGCTTGACTATATAATACCCCCATGGCCAGGTTATGGTTTGGGACATGAGCCCAGAAATTTTGACCCAAAGGTAGGGAATGATAGTAATGAATCAGACCTATAATGTTAATATAGACTTATTAACCGTTCAGAGGAAAAATGTTTTTTTTTCTTTAATAGAAAACTGATAACCTGAGGGTAAACATAGAAAAAAATTCGAGAGGTTGGACTTGAAGTAATTGTAGCCTCAGCAAGGTGAAACTGTGCATTTTAGAAAAGTATGCCTTTTGATTGGAGGCTAGGCTAACTTGAACTATCAAAAAAGAACTATTAGTACCAGATGCAAAGTCAGCCTTAGTGTGTCAAAATGATTATGTGAAATTTGCAATGAACCAAAAGAAAAAAAGTCTGATGCAATGTGGCCTACCATTCTGCATTCTGCAATTCCAAAAGGGCCTGATCATGGGAGAAGATTTTCATCATTACAATGTGATAGTGGCATCCACGCCTCTTCATCAAGGTTGTGGGTTCAAGGTGTATAACACAAACCTGACCATGCAGCCAAGTCCTCAAGTTCTATTGAATGTGTCATATTTAAGATGAAATATTAAAATAAGGCCACTACAAAAAGAACAGCTGTCTTTTTGAGTTGGTGTAAAAGATTGCATCAGGCTATTCTGAAGTTGTGAAAGGCATTGTTGATTGGTATTGAAGGAGATGTCACTGGTGAAACTTGCTTTGATGTACAGAATGCATCAGGTAGATAAGAGTGAGTTAACATGTCCTTTCTCAACTTGCACCTGTGGATTTGAATCCAGTGCAGACTTGTGGGATGAAACTCAATCCGTACTATCTGATAGTTTTAAGTGAACGTGGATTGAGCACTTTCATCAAAATTCAAAGATATTGCTCACAAATTGGTTGTCATTCAAAATGTTAAGAGACTGGCATAAAAAGTGGGTTTAAAGTATACTTAGTAGAATAAGTCTTGCTTAAACAATACAGTTCTTTGATACCATACATGAAATATTCAGCTCTACTTTTCACACCCAGAACAACATTAACTTAATGATATGTTTTAATTTAGCAAAAAAAAACTCAGGTTGCTTCAGAGGAGTGTTATTAAATAGTGAACCATGTAAGGCACTAAATGGGCAAATGGTCAAAACTCAGCTGAAGACATTTAAGAAGCTTATTAAAGAGAGGTGGAAATATTTAAGGAGTAAATTCCAGAAATTAGAATGGATGCAGCTGTGAGCAAGGCAGCCAAGATGGAGCAGTTAAAATCAGCGGTATTGAAGGGATCCAAATAAGATGTCTGCAAATGTCTGGAGGGTTGTGGCATTGGAGTTGATTGGAGATAGATGGTACGATCTAAGAACAGAAATGAAAATTTAAAAATTGAGATCGATAATTTCGGTATGTTGCATTAATGGACTGAAGAATGAGAGGAGGGTGTTAGAATACTCATCTTTGAAAGGAGTATCATGAAATGAATGAAAAGTATGACTTTTTTTTCCATTCAGTCATGAGATGTGGATGTTGCTGGCTGGCCAGCATTTGTTGCCCATCCCTAGTTGTCCTTACTTAAATGGCTACAGAAAGATAAGGCTAAAACGTGATTAAAACTGGTGCAGATTCAAATTGGTAAAAGGGAAGTTAACATGATCGATGCAGTATGTAGAATGGACTTCCAAAAAGCTAACGTAAGGAAAGGAAATTTTAGATAAGGTTGCCAGACTAGGAGTTAGAACTACCATGGATGATAGCAAAAACAGCAGAGGAGCAGAGTGTGAATAGAAAATTTCAAATTAAAGATTTTTATATGTTAATCAGAATTTGGGGAGCTACTAGTTAAGTAGGTACCATACCATCAGACAGTTTTAAAAAAAGTGCTTGAATGAGTTGTAAGAGGGTTGGTGTGTACTTGTGGGGCCGAAGGGCCTGTTTCCACACTGTAGGGATTCTATGACCTATGATCTATGAACTGTGCAAAAGGAAGATGAGGATGTTTAAAATTTGCAACCTGGATCAAGGATAAGCTTTTCTAATTGAGAAAATGCAATGAAGTTATAGGTATTTTGAAATAACAAGATGCTTTACATGTGTTTTAAATATCTTTATTGAATATTTTCCCTGAATGCATAAGAGTAATTCAGCATCACAATGAGCAAACAATATAGAGCACCTCAGTGTCACCCATTGGTCAGAGACTACAACTGTATTTGGATGCGGTGCAATTCTTAAAAGTATCCAGATACACAGACTGGCACATTAAGCAAAAAAATCCTAAAAGAAATATGATTAGAAATGTGTCACCAGATGTAACCTAAGCAGACTCTATTTGTGTAAGAATTACTTACAGCAATTTTTACAGCTGGCTGACTCTGCCTCTTCCCCACCCCTTTACCCGTCATGCTTGGCCTTCCCTTTCCCTCTCTCTGTCCAGTTAATTTGAGGGTATGGGGCTGAGATGGATTGCCGAAACGGAAGAATTAGACAACAGAGAGATTTGAAAACAGGAGCAGAATTTTAAATTTGGGATAAATAAGACTGATACTTTCTTTCCCTAAACCCTGATACTCCTTGCCCTCACATCTCCTATCTCTTGTTAGTAAAAGTAATGCTCATGGCATTAAGGGGACGGGTGCAGTGTCAATACAAAATTGGCTAAGAATGGAAAACAATGTACATTGGTAAACCTCAAACTTTAAACTGTGATATTCCTTATACAATAAATCTGGACTTGGATATACAGGACATCATTTCAAAGTTTGCAGATGACTCAAAATTCAGATATGCAATATGGAAAGTGGAGGCAGGTATCAAGAGGCCCTGAACAGCTTGTTAAAATTGTTGATATGATTTAAGCTGAGAAATATAAAGTGGTAGGTTGTGGTAGGCAGAATGAAACGTGGCAACATAAATTAAATGGTACAATTTTAACAGGAACAGAGAGCCTGATGTTTATACACACAAAATCAAAAAGGATATATTAAAAAAAAATCCTTGACTTTTTCATTGACCAGAGAAGGTTTGATAGAGGTCTGCAAAACAATTAATGGGCCTTGATAGAGTAAATAAGGAAAAACAATTTCCAATGGCAGTTGGATAAGAAGCCAGAGGGCATGGGTTTGAGGTTATTGCCAAAAGCACCAGAAGTGGCATATGGAAATATTTTATACAACAAATTTATTGTAATTTGGAATGCACTGCCTTAAACAGTGAAGCAGATTGACTAATCCTGTCCCCCTCCCTCCATCCCACCCTTTTTCTCCCTTGCTGTCCACACACCACCTATCTCCTGTCACCCACAAAGAACAAGAATACTTTTTCCAGTTGGTGAAACTATTGTGAAATTGTTCTGAGATAACAAGGTGTAGAGCTGGATTAATCACAGCAGGCCAAGCAGCATCAGAGGAGCAGGAAGGCTGACATTTCGGGGCCCAAAACTTCAGCCTTCCTGCTCCTCTGATGCTGCTTGGCCTGCTGTGCTCATCCAGCCCTATACATTGTTATCTCAGAATTTCCAGCATCTGCAGTTCTTACTATCTGTGAAATTGTTCTGTTTTGTTTCAATTCTGTCTTAAATATTTGGAATAGTTAGTCAAATAAGAGACCTGTGGGCATCACAAGATGATATTCTCTTAAGATCATAAGTAGGATTGGATCATGGCAGATCTGATACTTCTAACGTCCACTTTACTGCCCTTTTCCCATAACCCTTGATTCAGCTACTGATCAAGAATCTATCTACCTTAGTCTTAAGTGTACATAAAGACTCTGTCCCACAGCTCTCCGTGGCAAGGAGTTTCAAAGACACGCAACCCTCTGTGAGAAGAAA